TCCGGGCTGAGACTTTCTCCTGGAGCTGAGTCCAGCTTTAGGATGTGCTGACAAGGACAAAGTCACCAAAGCACTCAGTTGTACCCTGTGTCCCCTGTCCTCCAAAGGGCTGGCAGGCTCTCCGGGGAGCCTTGGGCTGATCTCAGGGGCTGAGAGGGGTCATGGAGCGTGGTGACAGCGGTGTCCTTGGGTGGGAACCCTGCAGGAGGCCCAGCAGCCTCACTTCTCTCTCTGCCCCTGCGCAGGTGAAGCAGCTGCGCCTGGAGAGAGAGCGGGAGAAGGCGATGCGTGAGCAGGAGCTGGAGATGCTGCAGAGGGAGAAAGAGGCAGAGCACTTCAAAACCTGGGAGGAGCAGGAGGACAACTTCCACCTGCAGCAGGCCAAGCTGAGGTGGGTGAGCAGTTCTGTGGGGACTGGCTGTGGGGAGCAGGGGGTGGCGGGTGCTGCTCACAGCCTCTCTGCTCTCACCCAGGTCGAAGATCCGGATTCGGGATGGGAGGGCAAAACCCATTGACCTGCTGGCTAAATACATCAGCGCGGAGGATGACGACCTGGCTGTGGAGATGCACGAGCCCTACACCTTCCTGAACGGCCTGACTGTGTCCGACATGGAGGATCTGGTGGAGGACATCCAGGTAGCAGGGCTGTCTGCTGGGTGGCGACTCAGGGCTTCCCTCCTTGAGCTTTAAGCATCAGCAAGCGGCTGAAGTCCTGGCTGTCCTCTGCACGCAGGTTTACATGGAGCTGGAGCAGGGCAAGAACGTGGATTTCTGGAGGGACATGACCATCATCACGGAGGATGAGATAGCAAAGCTCCGCAAACTGGAGGCCTCTGGGAAAGGAGGACCAGGTAAGCACGAGTGGGCTTGAAGAGAGCGCGTACAACAGGCAGAGCACGGCGCAGGCCCCGTTTGCAGGGGTTTGCACTTTGCTTCTGGGATGGACTGTGGATGTGGTGGCTGTTTGGGGCAGCCCAGGAGCGGCTGGGTGCAGGAGCGCTCACAGGCTGGCAGCCCTTTCCCTTTCCCTCCTGTTCAGGGGAGCGGCGGGACGGCGTCAACGCCTCTGTCAGCTCGGACGTGCAGTCCGTGTTCAAGGGGAAGACCTACAACCAGCTGCAGGTGCTGTACCAGGGCATCGAGAGCAAGATCCGGGCGGGGGGGCCCAACCTCGACATCGGGTACTGGGAGAGCCTGCTGCAGCAGCTGAAGGCCTACATGGCTCGGGCCAGGTGAGAGCGGGGGGCTGCGGAAGGGGCCGGCTGTGGCTGTGGCCGTGCTGGCTGTGACCTGGCTGCTCTCCTCTCGCAGGCTGCGGGAGCGGCACCAGGACGTGCTGCGCCAGAAGCTGTACAAGTTGAAGCAGGAGCAGGGCGTGGAGAGCGAACCGCTCTTCCCCATCATCAAGAGGGAGCCGGTGTCCCCCAGCGACAGGTGGGGAGCAGGACTGTGCAGGCATCCCTTGTGGGCACGCTCCCGTCTGTCCCCAGGCAGACGTCAGGGAGCACAGCGGCCACCTCCATCCCGGTTCTTTTCTCTCTTCCCTGCAGGCTGGATGCGGAAGAGAGCATCGTGGTGCAGCCGGGGCCGTCTTCAGAGCCAGAGGCTGAGCAGGACGTGGAGGTCAAAGAAGAAGCAGAGGGGGAAGCCGTGCTGATGGAGGAGGACCTGATCCAGCAGAGCCTGGACGACTACGACGCAGGGAAGTACAGCCCCCGGCTGCTGGGCACCAACGAGCTGCCCTTCGATGCCCACGTGCTGGAGGCAGAGGAGGACGCGCATCGGCTGCTGCTGCTGCGCCAGCAGCTCCAGGTCACAGGTAGGAGAACCCGGCCGGGCTCAGGGGGGGGCAGACGAGCACTGGGATGCAGGGCTGCAGGGAGCGCCGCCCTCTGGGTGAGCGGGAGGCAGGGCTGGAGCTCACAGCGGTGGCCGAGAGCCGGGCGGTGAGGGGGACGCAGCTCAGGGTGCTGCCGTGCCCTGCACAGCTGGGGCAGCTCCTTCCCAATCCCAGCTGTCATCGGGCTGCAAACGAGTGGCAGGATATTGTGGGTGCATTTCCCAACCCGGCACCCAGCGCTCACGGCTCGCGGTCCGGCTCTGCTCCCCTCCTCATCCCCCAGCACCGGGCTGATGCCGCAGGGCCGCCCCTCACCTCTCCTCCTTGCAGGCAACGCCACCGAGAGCGCTGACGACATTTTCTTCCGCAAGGCCAAGGAGGGCATGGGAGCAGACGAGGCTCAGTTCAGCGTGGAGATGCCGCTGACGGGCAAGGCTTACCTGTGGGCAGACAAATACCGGCCCCGCAAACCGCGCTTCTTCAACCGCGTGCACACGGGCTTCGAGTGGAACAAATACAACCAAACGCACTACGACTTCGACAACCCCCCGCCCAAAATCGTGCAGGGCTACAAATTCAACATCTTCTACCCCGACCTCATCGACAAACGCTCGACGCCGGAGTATTTCCTGGAGGCCTGTCAGGACAACAAGGACTTCGCCATCCTGCGCTTCCACGCCGGGCCTCCCTACGAGGACATCGCCTTCAAGATCGTCAACAGGGAGTGGGAATATTCCCACCGCCACGGCTTCCGCTGCCAGTTTGCCAACGGCATCTTCCAGCTGTGGTTCCACTTCAAGCGCTATCGCTACCGCAGGTGAGGGGGGCTCCTCATCCCCCTGCAGCCTCACATGGACTGTTTTCCTTTCCTCCTTTGCGTTTTATCCCGAGGACCTCTGAGACTTTGGCACAAATAAATAGGGGCTGTTTTACGGTGCGGTGTCCTGTGCATCCCCCCCCTTGGCTGGTGTTGTGCTGAGCAGCACTGGGGGCAGCACCATCCCACCCCTCCGTACTGACGGCCCTCCTGCGGGCGCCCATCGCCTCCTCGGGGGCAGATCTCCATCTCCATCTCCATCCGCGCCGTTCCCAGCGCTGCTGCACCCTTTGCTCCACGGTTGCAGCCCTCGGTCTGCTGGGGCGTCAGCCTCGGGGGGGAGGGGAGGAGAAGGAGAGGGGTGTGAGATGTGACCGCGACATCTCCTTACAGGGGAAAATCCGCTTTCTGTGGCCCTCGGTCCCTCCCCCCGGCACTGGGCTGCCCGGCTCCGGGCTGGCCGCGCTCCTCGGCGCCCGGCAGATGCTGGTACGGGGGGAGGGCTGCACGGAGCGGGGAGGCACGGCCTGGCCTTGCACTGTCCTGTGCCGAAGGATGGGGGAGGAGATGCCGGCCGAACGAACGGCCTCCAGGAAACCTCGGCCGTGAACTGCTGCTCCGGGACGCTGCTTCAGCTTCCTCCCCCCGGAGCTCTCGGCATCCTGTCTCCCCGCTGCCCCCACACCGCTCTCCCCCCTCCGGAGCTTCTCAGCCGTGGGGCCGCCCCGCGGCTCAGCCCCTCCTGCTGCTCCGGGCTCCGCTGGCAGCGTCCGGCCCGGGGGGAAGCGGAGCTCAGGAGCCTCGCACGGCCAGGTGCCCGCGTCTGCCCCACGGATGGGGGCACCGGGGTGGGGGCGCGGCCGCCCCGCCCGCCCCACACATTTCCCATCCCTCCGGACATCTCCGGCCGCGTCCCCCCGGCCGCTCCTTCCTGCGCGCTATTTAAAGCCGTGGAGCAGCTGCCGCCGGGGTGGGGGGGGAGATCCTGAGGCCGGCGCAGGAAGCGCGTGGAGGCCGCGGCGGAGACGAGATGGGAGAAAAAGGGGAAAAAGAAAAAAAAAGAAAAAGAAAAAAAGAAAAAAACCGAGAAAACACCACAACCCTCCGTGCTTCACAGCGCACGGAGCCCCCTGCGCTCAGCCCGTGCGGGGCCGATGCTGCCCGCCGTCCCATTCCGCGTCCCCGCGGTGCCACGCGTCCCTGCGGGGCGGCGTTGGAGCATCGCTCTGCAGCCCCACCTCGGCCCCCCCCGCACCCGCATCCTCTGCACCTGGGGGCCGCGGGGTCGCGCTTCGGTTCCATCCATGTGCCGCCGCCCCGAGGCGTGGGATCGGGGTGGTGGCACCGCGGTGGGCGTAAAGGACTCCTCGTGTCCTCCAGGGGGGGATTCCAGCGCTGGGAGCGGGCGCCCCACGGGGGCACGGAGGGGTGGTCGTGGGGGCGGTCGCGTCCCCGTGTGCCGCACGGCAGCGGCTTCGGGGAGGCGCGGTGACCCCGCGTGCCGCGCCCCGATGCGGAGCCCCGCGGTGCCCACGGAGGGGTGCGGGGCCGAGGGGGGCCCTCGGGGTGGTGCAGCCGAGGGGTGAGGGCCAACCCCCCTCCAGACGCAGGAATCCGGCTCGGGTAAACAAGTGAGTAACCCGGATAAGAGCGGCCCCGCTAAATATAGCCGGGTACGGCGGGCACCGCGCGCCCCGTCGCCGCCCCGCTGCGCGGCTGGAGCGGGCGCAGGTGAGCCGCGTCCACGCGAGTCCCGCCCCACGCGTGTCTCCGTGCCACCCGTGGCAGCGCAGCCCCGAGCGCAGCGCTCGGCCCCAGCCCGGAGCGGTGCTGCGGGGCCGCGGGGGGCGCGGGGGGCTCCGAGCGGGGCGGGGAAAGGGGTCGGGACGGCTGGGGGGGGAGTTGGGGCCGCTCCCAGCCCGGCCCTTCCCCGGCGCCTCCCGCGGGGCAGCGCTGCGCCGATCCGCGCCGAGCGGAGCTCCGCTCTCAGCCGGACCCCCCCGCACCGCGACGGCCGAGAGGTACGGCGGGGGGACGGGGGGAGCGGCTGGGGGGTCCGGAGGGGCTCGGGGGGGGCACGGAGAGGATGGGACGGACAGAGAATCCACGGGGGTGGGACGGACGGGTGGAGGGATCGGGATGGGGGGAGGGGGGATGGACGCACCGCGGCGCTGGGAACGACGGAGAGATGGATGGAGCGTCCGCGACGGGCAGAGGGGTTGTGTGGGGCGGGGCGGGTGGGATGGGGGTGGGGGTGGGAACGGAGATGGGATGGGATGGAGATGGGAACGGGAGTGGGAATGGGAAAGGGATGGGCTGAGATGGGACTGAAATGGAGATGGGGATGGGGACGAGTTTGAGATGGGATGGGGTGGGGATGGGACCTCGTGCCGTGGGTCACAATAGGGACAGGTGCTTTGTGTCACCGCCGGCGGCGCCCCACACCACGGGTGTCTCCTGCCCCGATGTCCCCTGGAAGTCCCCTCTCTGGGCTCCGTGGTTTTGATGGCTGTGGGTCTGGGGAGGGATGCTGGAGCTCTGCCAGCTCTGCGTGACGTGGTCGGTGCATTTCCCGTCCCGGCCGACGGCCTTGAGCAGATCCACACCGAGGGCCGTGGGGACAGAGCACCCATCTGTGTCCTTTGGGTCATCGGGTGGGGGACACCACAGGGTGCATCTCAAAGCCAAGAGGAGAGCTGGGACACGAGGGACCCAAAGCGGGGACCCGCAGCTCTGCGCCCTGTGCAGCGCATCCCCAGAAAAACACCACCCCGATGCCAAAAACCCCATTAATGCCCGTTCCAGCCCACACCGGAGCTGCCAATGCATTTCAGGGCTGCAACTGAGGAGAAGAATCTGCCCACCGGCCCCTGTGCCCCCCAGTGGGGCTGAGGCACAACCTCAGGGTCTGTTCCCCACAGGAGCTGCCCCCACGCCGTAGATTGAGGACCCTCTGCCCCCACTCATCGATTCATGCCTGTCTCCGTGCTGCTCTGCAGCTCTCTCTGTCTCAGTTACAGCCCTGCTGGTGCTAATTGAGCTCTCGTTAATATTTTATGCCCTCTAAGTGCAGCCCTGACAGCTCGCGGGGCTGTCCATCCCCATGTCCCCTCAGTGTCCCCAGGAGTGCAGGGCTGTCCCTGGCTGCGGGATGAGGTGTGGGGAATTGGGTGACCAGCAGTCCCACGTGGGGAGTGGGCCCTTCTCATGGGGCCCATGGGTGCCCTATGGGGCCGCTCAGCTGCCGGGGGATCCCATGGCTGAGGGTCCCCTGGGACACAGCGTGGCATGGGGACACAGCTCCATCCAGGCAGCGACGGGACGCCGCAGCCATAGGGCAGCACAGGAGTTTGGGGACGTTTGCAGTGATGGCCGCTGTGGGTCCTCCTTAAAGTTGTGGTCCTGAGAGGTGGTGGGGCAGGGGAAGTGGCATCCAGCAGCTCGGGGACAGGGTGAGCGGGTGGCACTCATCCCTGCCCTGGAGAAATGGGGGACGCATCTGCTGCTTGGGTGCCCACTCCTGGGGGTGTCCATTCTTTGGGGTGCACAGGACCCCCGGGATGGGGTTGGGAGCAGCTCCGTTCCATCCCAGGCCGCCCCATCTGCAATGATCAGCAGTGACAAACTGCTCATGACAAAACCAGCTGCCCTTACGCTTCGCGGCCCAGTGACAAAGCCTCAGCTCCAGCCAAGGATGGGAAACGTGAGAGCCGGCCCCATATCCCCATGGCTGTGGGGCTGGAATTGCTGGGCTGGGGGGCACGCGGTGATGCCATGGGTGCCGTGTGCGCCGCGCAGCTCCGGGCGCGAACGTCCGCCTGCGGTCATCGCCACGTGGGCGCCGGCCACAGCCACAGGGATGGGGGGAGATGCTTTTAAGCTAATCCTGCCCCTATGTGTGGGATCCGGCCACGTCCCTCCTCCCAATCTGGCACATGGAGCCGGGGCTGCGTCCTCACTGCGCGCAGGGATGGGGGTTTGGATGCACCCCCTCCCCCCCCCCAGCACGGGATGGAGCCCAGCTGGCAGCACGCGCTGCTCCAAACGATGAGCACGTGGGGGTTGGTGGCTGCTGCCCCGGTGGCTCTCGGCCCGGTGACGCAGAGGGGACGGTTAATCCCGGCCAGCTGGAGGGCTGGGGCCTCAGCACCCCATGGGACACCCCACATCTGTGGCCTCTGGGTGGGGGACCTGCGTTAGGGTCAGGATCGGCGTTAAGGTTAGGGCCAGGGTTGGCGTTGGGGTCAGAATCACCGTTAGGATCAGAGTGAGAGTTCTGGTCCCTAACGCTCCCCTGATCCCCGCAGAGCCCGGTGGGGGCAGCACCAAGATCACGCCATGGAGCCCAGTTTGGAGGGCGCCTGAGGCCACCAGGATGGAGTGGGGGGACACGGAGCCCCCCAACGTGAGCCTGGCCAGCCAACCCCACACCTGCTTCGGGGTGGTGAACCTCAGCCTCAGCCTCAATGTGACGCAGCCCAAAGCCATCGCCTCGCCGTGGTTCTCCACTGCCTTCGGCCTCATCGGGCTCTGCTCCAACCTCTTTGCTCTCTATGTGCTGCTCAGCTCCTCCCGTCAGCTCAGCAGCCGCTCGCGCTCCTCCTTCCTCGTCTTCCTCTGCGGCTTGGTGGTGACAGACTTCATGGGGCTGCTGGTGACCGCCGCCGTCATCATCCCGTACCACTTCACCAAGTTCAACTGGACCCAGGTGGATCCCGGCTGCCACCTCTGCAACTTCCTCGGCTTCTCCATGGTGTTCTTTGGGCAGTGCCCGCTGCTCCTGGGCGCCACCATGGCCGGCGAGAGGTTCGTGGGCATCAACCGGCCCTTCTCACGCTCCACCTCCGTCTCCAAGCGCCGCGCGTGGGCCATCGTGGCCACGGTGTGGGGCTTCTCCTGCGCCCTGGGGCTGCTGCCGGTGCTGGGCTTGGGGCGGTACACGCTGCAGTACCCCGGCTCCTGGTGCTTCCTCACTCTCCTGCCCGACGCCGGCAACGTCGTCTTCTGCCTTCTCTTCGCCCTGCTGGGCGTCTGCTCCGTGCTGCTCTCCTTCGTCTTCAACACGGTCAGTGTGGTCACCTTGTGCCGCGTTTACCACGACCGCGAGTCGGTGCAGCGGCGGCGTGACAGCGAAGTGGAGATGATGGTGCAGCTGGTGGGCATCATGGTCATCGCCACCATCTGCTGGATGCCGCTGCTGGTGAGGCCTTGGGCTTGGGGTGTCCCTGCTGGTAGGGCGCCGTGGTTCCTGGTGTCCTCTCCATGTCCCTGCTGGTGCCCCGGTGTCAATCCTGGGGGTTCTTGGGTGTCCCTCATGGTGGGGCTTTGATGTCCTTTGTGCCCCTCTTGGTGGGGTCCGGTGGTTCTGGTGTCCTCCCCACGTCCCTCCTGGTGGATCCCTGGGTGTCCCTGTGTCCCTCATACCCCTCCTGGTGGGGTCCCGTGGTCTTGATGTCCTCCCTGTGTTCCCACTGGTGCCCCAGCATCCTTCCTGCTGGGTCCCTGGGTGTCCCTCTTGCTGGGGCACTGGTTGTCCCTCTTGCCCCTCCTGGTAGGGTCCTGTGGCCGTGGTGTCCTCCCCATGTCCCTCCTGGTGCCCATGACCCTTCTTGTTCCTCTTCTTGGGTGCCCCTCCTGATGGGGCTCCAGATGTCCCTTGTCTTGGTCTCGGTGTCCCCCCATGTCCCTCATGGTGATGGCACAGGTCTTGGTGTGTCCTCCTGTCCTTTTGGGTGAGGTCCTTGTTCTCGGTGTCCCCAGATGTCCCTCATGGTCTTGGTGCGTCTTCCTGTGCCCCCCTTTGTCCCTCCTGGGGTGCCCCCCCAGTGCCTCTCGAGGTGAAGCCCCAAGTTCCAATGCTCCCCACTGTCCCTCATGGAGATGCGCTGGATCCTGGCGTCCCCGTGGCTGAGACTCCCAGCCCAGATGTGCCCCCCTTTTCCCCCCCTCAATCCTTTGGGGCTCCCCCAAACTCGGCAGCCCCAAAAAGTGACCCCCCCCTCCCTTCTCCCTCCAGATCTTCATCATCCAGACCTCCCTCCAGCAGCTACGGACGGGTGACCCCCTCCACGTGCTGCCGGGACAGACGCAGCAGCTGCTGCTCATCTACATCCGTATGGTCACCTGGAATCAGATCCTGGACCCCTGGGTGTACATCCTGTTCCGCCGCGCGGTGCTGCAGCGCCTGCACCCGGGGCTGCGCACGCGGCCCTCCCTGCTCTCCCTTTACCCCGTCCTCAACCCCTCCCTGCGCCGCAAACTCACCCAGGAGGGGCGGCTGCAGTAGTGGGGACCCCCTCCTCTCCCCCCTCCCCCTCCTCTATTGATTATGGAGGTTTTGTTCCGTTTTGGTTTTATTGTTATTATTATTGTTGTTATTTTTCACCTTGCAGCTGCAGGAGCTGAGCGCAGCGGGAGGGACGGGGTACCCAGCAGGGCAGCCATGGAGGCGTCCCCTCTCCCCTCTCCCCATCCTGCTCTGTGAGCTCCTAATAAAGCACAGCTTGTGCAGCACTGCGCGCCCCATGGGATGTGGGGACACACAGCGGCCCCACGCCTCCAGTCTGTGTGCGCAAAGGGCGACAGGTGGGACCTCAGGCAGCCACCCCCAGGTGGGAAACACGGAGGGGGGGGGACCTGGCCGCCCCCCAGCTACTCCTGCCCACCCCGGGGGCTGCAGACGGCCGCCCACACCTCAGCCACGAACTCCTGGGGGAAGGCAAACTCTCCCAGCACTGAGTCGACGGCGCAGGCGAGCGCGGCGGCAGAGGGGCTGCATTTGGCCATCTCCACCATGGTCGCAGCTGCAGGAGGAGCGGGGTCAGGGGGGAGGTGGGTGTAGGGTTGGGGGGGAGGGGGAGCAGCACCCACCCAGCTCGCAGTCACGGATGCCCATGTAGCTCTCCAGCAGGTCGTCCACGCAGCGCGCGGCCTCTTCCTCCACGGCGCTGGGCTGTGGGGAGGGGATGGGATGCTGAGCATGGGGTCACCCCGTGAGGCACGACCCCCCCAGACTGGTGTGGGGGGTTCTGGGGTGCCTTACCCCCTCCTGCAGCGTGGCCGGGCCCTGGGCACGCAGTCGCAGTGTCTCCTTCCCGCTGGACACTCGGCCTTCAGGTGGGCACTTGCTGCTGCTCCGCGTCCTCTGCCCGATCATGTCTGAGCCCCACAGCGGGGTGGGAGGGGGCCCAGGGTTGGGTGTCCAAGAAGAAAGGGCAACAGGGATGGAGGATGACCAAGGGTGTCCAAAAATGATGAATGTCCATCCAATGATGGACATCCCAGGGTGAGCAAAAACAACGCAGTGATGGGCAGCCAAGGTTGACCAAGAATGGGTGCGGGTGGACACCCAAGGGTGACCCATGGTGAATAACATGGACACCCAAGGGTGACCCATGGCAAACAATGATGGATCTGAAGACGATCCATGATGGATAACGATGGACACCCAAGGATGATGATGGACATCCAACAGTGGACATCCAGGGATAAGCCAGAATATCCAACTACAGATGTCCAAGGATGACCAAGAATGGACAAAGTTGGAGACCTAAGGATGACCAAGAACAGCCAAGGATGGAAGTCCAAGGCTCTCCCGAATGCTATGGGGCAGCATGAGGAAGGCACCGTGGGGGAAGGATGGGACGCACGTGTGCTTGTGGCTGCCCCAGGGCGGCCAACTAAGGGTGGTTGCAGAGGCAGCTCGGGCTGTGCAGGCACACGTGGGGCTGTCCCCCCATTCTGGTGGGGGTCTCAAAGCAGAGCAGCCCCCACCCCACTCACCGAAAGCCTTTTTGGGCTGCACCAGGCGCAGGGTGAAGGGCTGAGCGCGGGGCAGCTCGCGCAGCATGCGGGCCACCTCGTAGTGCCGGCAGCCCACGATGGTGTGGTCGTTGATGGCCTCGATGCTGTCGCCCACACACACAGCCTGGATGCGGTTGATGATGCTCCCCTCCTTGATCCGCTGGTGGAGGGGGGCACACGGTGACACCCCACCCCTCCACGCAGCGATTTCATTTTCGGGTTTAGGCAGGGAGACCCCAAAACGCCCCATACAGGGAGTCACCCCCAGGTCAGGGCAGACCCCCCCCCCCTCAGCCCCACACATTTTCACCTTGATGAAGGCGTAGCCAGCGCCGTTGTCGGTGATGGTGAGCCCCAGCGCGTCCTCCGTCTTGGTCACCTCCACCTCCTTCGTTTCACCACGGACGTGGGCAAAGATGAAATCCTCCAGCCCGATCTGCCCCCCCAGCAGCTTCTGCATGTCCACCTTGTGCGTGTTGAGCGTGCAAAAGAGGATCTGCCCCCCAACGCCCCGTCACCGCCGCTGGGGACGACCCCGGCATCGGCGTCAGCCCCGGCCCCCGACCGCTCACCTCGGTGGGGGAGATGCCGAACACCTCGGCGATCTTCCCGTACAGCTCCTTGACGTTGGTGAAGCCCTCGATGCGCCCCGTGGGGCTGCCGTGGGCCAGCTGGGTGCGGAACACCAGGCGAGGGCGGGCGCGGGGCGGCCGTGGGGCCGAGGTGCCCTCGGCGGGGGGCGGCTCGGGGACCCCCGGCTCCTGCCCCACGCCGTTCTCCATGGGCCGTTCCTCCTGGGCCTGCCTGCCGCGCCTGCCCGCCCGCCGCATCGCGCCGCTGCTGCTGAATTATGGATGGGCAGCCCGTAAGGCGATCCCGGGGGCTGGGAACCCGATCCGATACGCGGGGCCGTCCCGGAGATCGGGTGAGCGGTGCCACGGAGAGCCGCGGCCGCGTCCTGGATGTGGGGATGGGGTGGGAACGAGGAGCTCGGGGCCGCCGCGCTCAAAGCCATGGGGCGGCAGAGGGCGCTGAGCCGAAGGCGTGAGGATAAAGGAGCGGGGACAGCAGGACCAAGGGTGAGAGGACGGCGAGATGAAGGACGGGGCTGGGAAATGAGGACAAAGGGCACCCAGAGCTGCTCTGGAGCCCAGCCGGAGCACGAAGGCACAAACTCCAAAACGTTTTGGTTTTTTTTCTCCCAAATTTATTCACTCCCGTCTCCATCCCAGGCCAAGCAGCCACGAGATGGCAAGCAGGAGATTCTCTACAGAAAGAGCACCGACCTTGCAGGCGAGAGAAAAGGGTCAGAGCCCCGCCTGGGTCAAACCCAGGGAAGGAGCCACGTAGTGCTAGTAAGAAAATAAGACACTCTCTAATTACACGATCTGAGATTAGTGACAGGCAGCAGCAGGGCTGGCACGGCTTGGGGAGGACGCAGCCGCCGTCACGGTGGTCCCACGAGGCCAGGGAGGAAGGGCTCAAGGCCCACAACCCCCCAGCATGAAGGGGAAGGAGCTGCCCCCACTGGTCCCATATCACAGAGAAGAAGGAGGGCAGGCAGGGAGCACAGAGCTGAAGGCACCCACAGGCAGCAGCGAGGGGAAGGGGGAAGATTAAATAAAGCAGCCACAGCCTGGAGACACCCGGGGTGAGGCTGCTGTGCTGCTCACAGGAGGGCGGGGGGATGCTCGTGTGTTGGTCCCCAGAAGCTCGAGGTCCTCAGGTGTCACCACTGCAGGGCTGGGGCCGCCCCGGGGTGCAGGGGATGCGGCCAGACCCCCAGCAGGGACTGTTCCTTGCAGGAGCTCCAAGGAACAGCGCTGCGGCCCAGCCGGCCCCGAGCTCTGCAGGGACTGGTCCTCATTCACAAATGTTCACTGCAGAGACAGGAACGCAACGCCAAGCCACAGGAGTTCCGTCCTCCTGTCCCACAGCAACACGGGGACACCCCAACCCCCCCTGCAACCACGCCAGGACACAGGGACCCACCTGGCTATGCGGGACAGGATCTCCTTGATGCGGACCACCAGCTTCTCGTGCTGCAGCGGGTTGCTCTCGATGGCGCTGTGCAGCTTGGCCATGTAGAAATCCAGGGTGCTCAGCGTTGGGGTTTCCCCAGTGCCTGCGGGGCAGCAGCTCAGTAAGTCCCCATCCATACCGAGGTGAGACCACGACGTGGAGTCCCAGCTCGTGCAGTAGCAGAGCAGGCAGCGAGGCAGAACCAGGGACAAAGGTTTGGGTAACACCTCCCCTGCAGAGCTGTGCATCCAGAGACAAGCTCCCAGCCCGTCCTCGCCCACTACAGGGAAGCCATCCCACCCCAGAGAGCTCCAGGGTCCTCCTCCCACCAGATGGGCACCCATCTCTGCCTCACTGATGTCCTTTTATGGTCCCTATTGGCACAGATGCCCCACACTCACCAGGGATGGGGAGGGAGGCAAAGCTGGTGGTGAGCGCCTGCCGTACCGACTGCAGCTGCTGCTGCAGGGCCAGCGTCTGCCTCTCCTCCTGCGCCAGCTCCTGCTCCAGCTTCTCCTTGGCACAGTTCATGCTCTCCGTGTGCTTCTGCAGGATGGCGTTCTGCTCCTCAAACTCCGTGTTCATCTTCCGCAGGCGCCGCAGCTCGGCCTCCCGGGCTGCAAGGACAGAGTGGGATCAGAGGGGCTCAGCGATCCCCACCCCAAACTCAGCCCCTTCCCCAGCCCCACACCTTTGTTTTGGTCCAAGAACTCCTCTGTGAAGATGGGAACGTCAAAGGTGGAGAAGGCATCGCTGCACTCGCCAGCCTGGGGGCAGCAGGGCACGGGTCAGACAGCAGGACGCCGTGCCCCATCCCCGCCCTCACCCCGAGCACAAGGAGGAGGCAGGCAAGGGATGGCTGTGTGCCGCCTCCTGCAGCTTCAGGCTCTGTTTCAGTGGGAATTGGAGTCCTGGAGCCCACCCTGGGACTCCCTCAGCCCCTCCTCACCCATCCCACAGGCCAAACCCAGCAGCACCACAGGCCTCAGTTTCCCCACGCGGCCTGCGGCGCCTTACCTTCTGTGGGTGCCCGTTCAGCAGGGTGTTTGCTGCCGCAGAGCTGGCGTCCTCTGGTAAAGAAGGAAGCAGGTTACCCCCAGGAGACCCCCCAGGACTCCCGGGCTGCATCCCGAGCAAGAGGCACCAACACAGCGCACCTTTTTTGATCTTCTTCTCCTGGATTTTCTCCGTGCACATCTTGTAGGCTTCCGACTGCTGGTATTCCCGCAGCTCCTTCATGTACTGCTGCTTCTCCCGCTCTGCTTCGTCCAGGTAGCGCTACGGACACAGCAATGCTCAGCCTGGCTCAGCCCAGCCCAGCAGCAGCTCCCCAGGGTGATCCCGTCCCACCCCTCGAGGCCCAGCAAACATTTTGGTGCCCAGACCCCACGTACGCAAAGACCTCAGCTTCCAAACACACGGAGACGTGCGGCACAGCCATTGCCAGCAGAGGGGTGAAGCTCCCAGAAGGAGCTGGAAGGTGCAACGCGCCGCTCCAGCCCAGAGAACTCCTGGTACCTGCTTCTCTGAGAGCTGCAGCTTGCTCCACTCAGCCCCCAGCATCTTGGTGATCTCTGGGAAGGGCAGGTCGGGGTGCTGCGTGCGGATCTGCTCGCGCCGCTCGTTCAGGAATCTCACATAGCCTGTCACCGGGGCCTTGGGGCCGTTGGGAAGGATCTTCTTCCTCTTCTTGCCCTTAGGCCAACCCCTCTTCTTCACTGGCTGGCGCCCCAAGGATGTAAAAGGACAAGAAAATGACAAGTGGGTGCTGATGGGAGCGCAGGAGGTTGTGCTCCGAGCTGCAGTTCTGGCCGTGGTTTTGCCCAACCCTGCAGCACAGCCCAGCCTGGCAGAGCGGAGGGGCAGCCCCAGCTCCGGGTTGGAGGTCTGTGCAGGAAGGGATCTCAGAGGCTGCCGCTCACCTCCTCCTCGCCGTGCGGCTTCTCGCCGCTGGCACGAGCCACCTCTCCCTTCTCCTGTTTGATGGCCACCAGGAAGTTGCCATGCTGAGCCTTGCCTGCTGCGTGCCTGCAGACAGACAGCGGCCATCAGGAAGGGCTGCGGACCACCGCACCATGTCCAGCATCAGCCAAGATGCCCAAAGCCCGGCTCCGCCTCCGTCACCACGCGATCCAGCAGCCCCCAGGCCTGTGCTGAGCAGCTCTGCCCACATCACAGCGTCTCCCCCAGCTCCTTCCTATGGCACCGCTGTCCCTTTGATCCCACAGCAAGACGGGACACATTGCCCAGACACAGCAACCCCAGGCTGCCTGCATCCCACAGTTACACAGCAACCACAGCACAGCTGGAAGGGAGGGAGCCGTGAAGGGCAACAGCTTTCCGTGCAAACATCATTGATTTTCACTTTCATCAAAGTCACAAGATAGATGAGATGGCACAGGGTCAGCACAAACCCCGCGAGGGAGAGGAAATCTGGATGCACGTTAAAAGCTGGATGGATCCAGGCTGGCCCCGTGGGTCGCAGCACTCATCAGTCACACCACGCACTTGGTGTGAATCCAGCTCTGCACAGAGCCCCCAAACTATCAGGTGATCCTACACAAGGTACAATTAACCACTGCTTTGGTGGGGCCCTTCCTGCTTGGCGCTGGGCTGACTGCTGCCACCAAAGCTTATGGGGCAGCGTATGAACGTCGTTTCCTGGGAAATCTGCTCCTGGGTCTCTGGGAGGCCTCAGCTCTTCGTTATCAGCCCTAACGAACCTACAGTTACACCATGGAATGTGCTGAGAGCTGCCAGGCTCTGCCTCCCCCACATTCCTGTCGTGCCGGAGGACGCTTTGGAAAGTCACTGTGTTCCAGGCAGGGTCCTGCACATACCTCAGCCCCCTGGGCACTGCACCCAGCACAGCTGAGATGCCCTTGGGGCAGCTGACAGACAGAGCGTGGTGCTGGGCACCCAAAATGAACGGGGAGCCCACTGATCTGAACCCCACCAGGCGTGTTCTTTTATACCAGGCCCTATGGGGAGAGCCCCGAGGCCGGCAGCGGGGCTCAGCGGGGGCACTTACAGCATCACTGCAGGCTGCTGCTTCGCGCTGTGGGCCATGGGCTGCCAGGGTCACTCGGAGTCAGACCCTGAGAGATGAACCCGCAGACATCATTTGGGGTCCCTGGAGGCCACTGAAGCCGCAGCCCCCACTGAAGCCACTGCAGCCCCCACTTCCCTGGGCCAAGCAACCCCCAAATCCCTGCAGCCATCGCTCCCCAACCTCCACAACCCAAGGCCTCCCACGGCGCCCATTCACCCCCAGCAGTTCAACCCCAGCAGTTCCCACCACGGACCCCCATCCACTCCCAGAAATCCCCCCCTCCGGACACCCACCCACTTCCATCAGCCTCCCCTCAGGGCCTCCATTCACACCTATTAGTTCCCCGCCCACCAGAGGCCTCATTCACCTCCATCAGCCTCCCCACAGGGCCCCCATTCGGCCCCAGCAGTCCCCATCCAGGGCCACCACTGGCTGCCATTGGTTCCCCCACCCCCCCCGGATCGTCATTCACTCCCATCGGCTTCCTCACAGGGCCCCCATTTACCCCCCATCGCTCCCCTTTAGAAACCGTTTATCCCCCCCAAGATCCCCTCCCCGGGACCCCCAGCTCCCCCCGCTGCTCGCAGCCCCCCGAGCCCCTCCTCTGAGCCCCCCCGGCCCCCAGCACTCCCAGCTCTCCCCCGGCCCCCACACGAGGCCCCCTCCGCCCCCCCAGCCCCGGCCCCCCCCTCCCATATCGGGGTCCCCCTCCGCCAGGCACCTCCAGACCCCCTCGGCCGCCCTTCCTCACCCGGCCCCGCCCCTCTATTATTATGCAAATAAGGATCCCGCTTCGGCTCTCCCGATTGGTTTCTGCGCCCGGTGGTGGAACGCACGATTGGCTGCAGCTGTACGACGTCAACAGGAAGCGGCAGTGAGTGGGCGTGGCGAAGAGGAAGGCCTACGTTGCGTGCGTTGAGCTCGGCGCGCGCGGCCGGCCTCCCAGCCAATCAAAAAGCGGTGTGCAGACGCGGAAGTGCGGGGAGTTCAGAGCCTTAAAAAGG